ATTGTTTATTTTCTGCTAGCATGTAATTTTATAATGACAGAGATCTTAGCCCAGCCTGTGTGGTTCAGTGGTTGAGGGTCAAACCTATGAATCAGGAGGTTAAGGTTCAATTCCCTGTCAGGGCACATGCTTGGGTTGCAGGCTAATTACCAATAGAGGGCATGCAAGAGGCAACCGATCAATGATTTCCTCTCATCATTGATATTTCTATCTTTCTCTCCCTCTCCCTTCCTCTCTGAAAAAAAAAAAAAAAGGACAGAGATTTTATTAATGAAACTCCTAGAACAGTGCCTATTACACAGTAAGAACTAAAGCAATACATATTAAATAAATCTGTTTTACTACCACTACTAGATACCATCCCCACCAATGCCACTATGACACTGTGCAAGCAATATACCATGGTAGCCAGTAGTATGGTGTCTAAGTCATGACCTTAGATTTGAATCTGGTTCCTAACACTAGCCACATAACTTTCTACAAGTTACTAAACTGCAGTTTCCTTACCTGTAAAGTGAAGATAAAAACTGTACCTATCTGATGGAGTTGTTATAAGGATGAAATAACAAATATAAACCATTTTGGACAGCATGTAGAACTACATAACTGATAGGTGTTTTATTTCCATTAGAATTTATACTCATTACCACATAGGTATTTCTCTGCTTTGTTCACTGCTGTATCTTTAGTGTCTAGAACAATATCTGGCACATAGTAGATGGTCAGGGACTATTTGTTGAGTGAATCTGTGAATGCACACTATTTTTAAAAATATATATTTTATTGATTTTTTACAGAGAGGAAGGGAGAGAGATAGAGAGCTAGAAACGTCGATGAGAGAGAAACATCGACCAACTGCCTCTTGCACACCCCTTAGCGGGGATGTGCCCACAACCAATGTACATGCCCTTGACCAGAATTGAACCTGGGACCTTTCGGTCCACAGACCGACGCTCTACCACTGAGCCAACCGATTTCGGCTGAATGCACATTATTACATTTCCAGGATGCCGCAATCTGCACAATGAGGGTTCAGGATCTGAAGGAGGAGCCGATGCACAAATGAAAATACTACACAAGAAATATGAATTTAGAAGGCATGGGCGTCCAGATGGAGACCTCTCTCTTGGAGAGGCACACTGAAACTTGCTTTTTATTTAATTTTAGATACTCATTTTGCCCTCAGTAAAGCACAACACACAAGTAACAGACAGTCTCTAAGATCAATAAAGATCAGTAAGGTTCAGTAAATATTTACTTTGAGGCTAGTAGGTCAGAAAATTGCTTCAAGCCACCACTATCTCAACTGAACAATGGTGGTTGGTGTCAGGCTGCCAATGCCCAAGGCCCAAAGGCCTCCCATATCCCTTGGTGCACAACACACAAGTAACAGACAGAGTCTCTAAGATCAATAAAGATCAGTAAAGTTCAGTAAATATTTACTTTGAGGCTAGTAGGTCAGGAAATTGCTTCAAGCCACCACTATCTCAACTGAACAATGGTGGTTGGTGTCAGCCTGACAATGCCCAAGGCCCAAAGGCCTCCCATAGCCCTTGGTGCACTCTTATGACAGTATTGGGAACGGTGGCTATTGTGATAACTTCCTACCCAGACTCTCTGCCCCACATTGCCTAAATGTTCTTTCTAACTCAGCTCCAGTGGTTCTTAAATTTTAGGGTCTATCAGAATCTCCCGAAGGTGAGTTAAAACAGATTGCTGGGCCCCATATCCAGACTTCCTGATTTAGTAAAACTGAACTGGGGTAGAGAATTTTTATTTCCATCAGTTTCCAATATACTGTTGGTGATGCTTTTGTAGGGTCCACACTTTGGGAAATACTGCTCTAATCTAACATAACTACCCAGGCTTCCTACTGCCACTCAAATTAAAGTTTAAAGTCTTTGGTTTGTGTACAGGCCCTCCTGGTCTATTCTCTTCTTATCTGGTTTAGCTTTGACTACCCTTGTTAAGTCCCTCTTATTTCATCTCTTTTGAACCCAGCACTTTGGTTAAAAAGAACTATTTTCAGTACCAAGACTGAATGAAAGCTCATTCCAGAGAACTTCCACTGTTCTGGATGCTGAACTCTAACTCACTTTCTCTGCTCAGTTTTTCTGATGGCCCTTCCTTCTTGCAGAATTGAGTTTTCTCCTTAGTCTCCATACCACACCTTGAGCGCACTTCCATTCAAGTACTGTAAAACTTTTTTCCATGAGGTTCTTTTCTGCTAGACTGTGAGCTCTTGGGATGCCATAGCTGATTGTTGTATGTACTTCCAGGTTCAAGTACAGTGCCTGGCACTTAGTGGATGCCCAGTAAATAATAATACTTAGCCGAAACTGGTTTGGCTCAGTGGATAGAGCATTGGCCCGCAGACTGAAGGGTCCCAGGTTTGGTTCGGTTCCAGTCAGGGTCAAGTACCTTGATTGCAGGCACATCCCCAGTGGGGGTGTGTGTGTGTGTGCAGGAGACGGTTGATCGATGTTTCTCTCTCATCAATGTTTGTGACTCTCTATCTCTCTCCCTCTCTGTAAGAAATCAATAAAAGATATATTAAAAAAACAATAATAGTTAATATTTATTGAACACTCACTATTTTCCAGGATGTTGGGTAGCTCACCTTCATCCTCCCCTCCTTCTCTCCCTCTCTCCCTTCCTTCCTTCCTTCCTCCCTCCCTCCCTTACTTTCTTCTTTCTGTCTAGTTGAGATAATCATCAGAATGGATTGTGCTGATTCACTCAGAGAACTCCCCCCAACCCCCTGGTTTCTTTGTCCTGCTTTCCCCCTCCCTTATAAAAACAGCTGCCTGCACTGAGATGTTAAGATGGTCTTTAGGATAGGAGTCCACTATCTTCTCAGGCTAATGGCACTGGAATAAACCATCTTACCTTACACCAGCACCTGTCTCTTAAGTATTGGCTTTTAAAAGTGGTGGTCAGCCAAACCTGAGTTCAGTATCAAGTGGACAAAAAAGAATATGAGTATTTTCTTCACCTGCCTTGCCAGGAGCTCCAAATTCTGTCAGAGGTAGATACACTAGAGTCTCTAGCTACCAGGTTTACTGCAGAATTTGTCTTTAGGTATAGACAACATAGCCAAAGGGATAGCCCTCTTTTATTTAAGACAAACCATCTTAGTGTTGGTGATAATGTACTAGCAGAGTGCTTTAGTCAAATTAATGATTATGGTGTCTATACCTCTTTATCACCACCACCATTCTTTTTCTTCTTTTTTTCCCTCCACCTTCACCACCTCCTCCTTAAACACACACACACACACATACACACACACACACACTTAATGAGAATCTGTATTTAAATAGAACTCTGAGTAGCATGGCTTTAGGAACATGTTGATAGTCTCTGAGGGTGGCATTTTGATTCCTGATTCCCCTGGTTAGAATTCAATTGTTCCTGAATTTATTTCTATATTATTTTTTGTCTCTGTGGAAACATTCCTTTAGCATATTCTGCAAATTTGTTGTCTCGAAATAGATTGGTAACTACCTGAAGGCACATCTTAGTTTCCTATGTAATCACTGCAAGGCTTGTCACTGTGCTATGAACAAAGCGTCAAAAGTGTTTGAGTTGTTTGTGATTGTGGTGTGTGAGATGTGCTGGAAAGGGCACAATATATACTATTGTGGTTTTAATGCTTAACCCCCCCCCCTCACCCTACCATTTCTTTTTCTTTTATACTGAAAAGGCTAAAAAGGCTAATTCCAACATAACCCTGATATTTGGGGCGCGGGGGAGAGAGAGGGGGGTGGAGTGGTAGCAATTTGAATCTGTGCCAGCAAGCCCAGTGTACATTCTTGATTACCTATAATTAAGTCATTGCTTCTTTCCCAGAAACTGGTCTTGCTGAACCTGTTACCTAAATGCTCACATTTCACAGAACCCATCAAGTGTGAACAGTGCACAGCCATGGGGAGGAAGGGGATTATTAGTGCTGGTGCCAGGCCAGACCATTAATATGGCCTGGAGACCCCAACACCTGTGGTCTTCTTGCAAACCCCATGAAAAGGACCTGAAGCTAATCCATATTTGAGGGACAAAGACACCAGAAAGATATAAAAGAGAAGCCTCCTGCATGTTACTTTTCTCAGATTGCTGAAGTTATTCTGATGAGTCCGCCAGTGTAAATAAACAGTGTGACTCCTTTTCTCTAAAAGTGTTGCTTGGTTTTCTCTGGTCTTCTGCAACAGTACAACTTTGAAAAAATAAGAAGGGTGGTGGAGTGGGGAGGGAGGTTGGCAGCTAATGTATCCTTGGGATCTTTACTACGTGCCCTAAGAACATGCAGCTGAGTTGTGATCCTCAGAGAGCGTGTATTTATTTACTCAGTTTGGAGTTATAAATGGAAGTAGGAATTAATAGTTATTGAATCTACCATGAGTCTGATACGATTTTTTTTCTCATACCATCCTCATGGTTATTCCATACGGTTGTTGCTGGGAAAAGAAGGGAAACTGAGCTCCGTTTCAGGCTATCAGTGGATAAGCAGGAAGAGGAACACAGTCTGATTTCAAGAGAAGCTCTGCACCTCCCACCCGCTTCTCTTCCTCTCCCCCTACTCCCCGTCCCCCATGCACCTCCCCGCTTTGCATCATTGTGCGGAGCCGCCTGCTACAGTGCTCTTTCCCTTTGGGCTTGTCTCCCTGCACAGGCACCGACAACTCTTCACCAAAACTACACGGTGCTGTGTCAGTGGTTTCCGGCAGAAGCCACACGCCTAGCTACACCCTCGATCTAACCCAGCCGCCCCTGCCTCGCCGGAGCGAAACGCAATTCTGACATTTAATCCCCAGGTTCCGGGTCGGCGGAAAGGCTCCTACGCAGCGCTCCCTCCGCCGGGCTTCTGTGATTGGGCGAGGCTGAGCCGGCTGGCCAATGGTGAGGCGGAAGCAGCTTCCCGGAAGTGGAAGCGCCGCCAGGCATTCCCGGACCCCGGCGGCAGGCTTTCGGGCGGATCTATTGCTCCGGGGTTGGCGGGCGCTATGAGTTCCTTCCAGGGACAGATGGCTGAGTACCCAAACATCTCCATAGATCGCTTCGACAGGGAGAATTTGAGGGCCCGCGCCTATTTCCTGTCGCACTGCCACAAGGGTGAGTGAGCGCGGCGTGCCGTCCGCTCCCTGGGGACCCTCCTTCCCCCCCGAAGTCGCCCGGGGGCCGAAGAGGAGGGACGTCGGGCGGGGGTCCGGGGCCTGGAGCGAGGGGCGGCGGGCTCTGGCAGCCCCGAGGGAGACTATCAACTGCACCTTGTCTCCATCCTGGCTCTTCAGTCTCTGAGGCTTTATTTTCCCATCTGTACACCTGCCAGGTGCGCACTGAATCCAGGCAGTTTATCTGGCACAACTGTTAGGTTCTGGAGGCTCTCCTAGCGGCCAATAGGCAGAGGTAGGCGATGATTACTTACTTCTCCCACATCCTCGCTGCTGCGTTATGAAGGAGAATGTGATGGAATTCTGCCACACTCCCCACACATTAACAGGTAGGCACACTGTCTCTGAAAACAAGCTTCCTGTCAGCAAACTCACCAACTGCAAGCCACCCCCCCAAAAAAAACACCACCCCCTCTCTTAGATAATTTGTCCACATCCAATAGAAAAGGTTCATTTTCATTTGCCTTGTAGATGGCCAGGTCAGGCAACCAGAATGGTAAGATTTCACAGCTGGATGCGGTTAGGGATGAAGCCTGAAGCTTCCACCCCTAAAGATAAGGCCTCCAGACTAGATGCTCCCGGCAGGGCAGAGTGTCTCTAAAACATTTTAGCCAATCTCCAGAGGTGGCATACCGCTAATTTCACAGCCATTGTCCGTCTTTAATATCTGTTATGCTGATTAATGAGTCACTAACTTCACCATGGAAAACAGTTTTAACATTCACGATGCTAATTAGCACAGCCAAAGGCCTGTGGGGAGTGTGAAGATAAGCTTACAGCACTCTAGTAGCTGCTGGCAGGACTGTGGGCTTCCAGAGTGGCTTGAGAAGGATATCCCATCCACTCTTGAAGACTGAATTAGAGCATACCAAACATATACACACGCATATCATACGGTGTAATTTTAAGGTAAATTACAAATATTGAGCATTATCCTTCCTCACAGGTTGGTGTGAAGACCAACTGTTGTCTTGTGTGGAATCAATCACTTTAATCTGGTGTAAATTGTTGACAGTAACTGCTTTGGGGAAACACTTCTTTCTTGCTCAAAGTCTCCAATTATCTATCTTTAATGAAGAAAATCTGAAGCTTCTCTCCATTTGCTAAATAGCTCTGTGAGCCTCTTTAAGGGTCTTTCTGCTTATTCTTGAGAATAACTTTTTGGGGATTTTTTTTTTTTTTTAATTGAGAATCTGCTGCTGGATGCAGATGCCCCTGTTTTTTCCCTTTTGTGTTAAGTCTCACTGGAGTTTTTTTTTTTTTTTAATGTGTTAGCTGTGATTAAAATATGGCAAAGGGGCTAACCTTTGGGTTTAGGGGTAATGAGTTTGGAGAAAGAATTCATCTAAGAATTCTTAAAAGAATTCTAAGAATTTGTGAAATCATCTTAATTTGTATGTTGAAGTCAGAAATTGCTTCTCAAGAAATTTATAATGTTCCCTGTTCTTGAATCATGTGTGGGTTTGTTTACTCAACCAGGCTGTAAACTCATCAAGGGCAAGCACTCAACTTCTGCTTTTGGTGTTTTCCTATGTTGCCTCCTGGTGGTTTATAACAGAGATGTTTTGGATGTTCTGTGGATTCCCCTCCCCCAATTCATATGTTGAAGCCTCTAACCCCAATGTGATTGTATTTGGAAATAGGGCATTTAGGAAGTAATGAGGTTAAATGGGGTCCTAAGGTGGGGTCCTAATTTGAAGAGGAAGAAATCCCTCTCTGTACACACACACACACACACACACACACTCCCCTACCCCTAGGAAAAGTCATGTGAGCAGACAACAAGAAGGTCTGCAAGCCAGGAAGAGAGGTCTTATTAGAATCCGACCTTAGACTTCAGCCTCTAGAACTCTGACAAATTTCTGTTGTTTAAACCCCCAGTCTATTGTATTCTGTTATGGCAGCCAGGGCTAGTCACCCACTGTTGGGGAGAATCCTCTGGGGACAGCTTATGATTTATTCTGGCCAAGGAAGAAGGGAAGGGCCCAGAAAGGAGTCTCTGGGTGCACTTCTAGCAGCACAAAGCCAGGACTGTCATAACAGAATACCATGGACTGGAGGTTTAAACAACCACCCTTTGGTGCAAATGTTACCTGTGTTTAAATGTCATCTTTCTGTGTCTGTTAATTTGGCAGACTAATACATAGTATCTGATAAAATCTATGAACCAGTTTGCTAGAAAAGTTGCACATAAGCATGTTAATATCACATTTTGATACAATTTGGGGTAAGCCATGGATCTGCACTGGACCATCTGGAACCCAGTGCTGTGCTTGGAGTGGGATAGACTTTACTAACCATCAGTGAGGCCTGGTGGAAGAGAGGGACCCAGGGCCTGAGATAGTACCCAGTGCTGGGGGGGACCCCTTCAGGGGACAATTTGTGATTATTTATTCTGGTCAAGGGAGAAAGAAAAGGCCCCAAAGGAGTCTCTGGGTGCACTTCTATCAGCACAAAGCAAATTCACTCAGGCTCTGCTGGCCACTAGTCAGGAAGGGGCCTGGAGAGTGGGTGGCGGTCTTGCTAAAACAGAGTGCTCCCTACTGACTTAGTTCCAGAGCAGGAGCAGGGTTCTGAATCTGCCTCTTTTTTGCCATGACATAAACTCTCTGGAAACCCTAATTACTGAGATTCCTGCCCTCCGGTCACCTGTTGGCCCTAAACACCTGTGCCAAGAGTGATCTGAGAAGATTCACCCTCCAAGGGGGCAGGTGGATTGTCCTTTGGAGGCACCTGTCTAGTGAAGGCCTGCCACGTGTGGTGTGGTGACTGCTTTGTGTTCACTGGAGTCAAGTATCACCACATAAATACCAAGTCACGTGTATAGGTGGTAGTTAGGATAATTAGAATTTGTTTGATTTAACTAAACAATTTAGAAGTATTTGATCATTGTTATCTAGGCCCTTTGCATGCTCAAGGTCAGAGTGTATTAGAATGCACTCTATATTTAATGTGCTATTTTGTGTATATGTGACGTGTGTTTAAATGTCATCTTTCTGTGTCTGTTAATTTGGAAGACTGTGGAACAAGCCTGTGTGGATAGAAATATCCCACTTTTCAACCCAGCAATCACAGTAGGCTTGAAGATAACACAACTCTTCTTATTCTGGGCTAAGCCTGAAGGATTTCCTAGAGAATTCCATGGAAGCAAGCTTGAATTTCAAGATGGACTAACTTTAGTGATAGATTGAATGGGTTACAGAGAGCAAGGACTGAAGGGTGATTGGATTGAAATGAAAGAAGGGGGTAATGGAAGAGGCTGGAAGCAGTTCTGAATGAGACCCTCTGACCACTCTTTTTCTGTGGCTGTTCAGAGTGATTTAGACTCTGCCCTAAGATTCAGGGAACCATTCTTTTAAATGGCTTCTGATGGCTCAGAGGAAGAGATGGCCAACTCTTAGTGGTTCCTGTCCTATTTTCAGAGAAGAGTCAGTAGCCTGTATGAATCAATTCTCTGATAAAAGTGAACCTGTCATGTGTTTTCTCTTTTAAAAGGAAGTAAAAAAGAACAGACAACTGAGTTTCCGTGGGCTAAGTAAGCCTTTGAAAATGTAATGTGCTTATGATTTTTTTGTTTTTAGATCACATGAAAGGGTTAAGAGCCCCTGCCCTGAAAAGAAGGTTGGAGTGCAGGTAATTATTTTTGCTACTTATTTGTGTATGTATCTGTCTTTAACCATTTTGACTGAGCCATGAAATCTCTACTGGAGAGTACATACATTATAAGGGTATAATCTGAAGAACCTTTACAAGTGAAGCTTCCTCCCAAATCAAGAAATAGAGTAGAACCAGTATCCCCGTTCCTCCTCCTAGTAAGTGCCTTCTCCCTAAGGTCACCTCAGTTAAAAAAAAAAAAAATCTTGCCAAAACCGGTTTGGCTCAATGGATAGAGCGTTGGCTTAGGGACAGAAGGGTCCTGGGTTTGATTCCGGTCAAGGGCATGTACCTTGGTTGTGGGCACATCCCCAGTAGGGGGTGTGCAAGAGGCAGCTGATTGATGACTCTCTCTCATCAATGTTTCTAACTATCTCTCTCCCTTCCTCTATAAAAAAATCAATAAAATATATTTAAAAAAATAAATCTTTATTGTTCAGATTATTATAGTTGTTCCCCTTTTGCCCCCCATTGCTCCCCTCCATCCGGTTTATACCCCACCCCCCGCCCTTACCTTATCCACTGTCCTCGTCCATCGGTGTACAATTTTTGTCCAGTCTCTTCCTGAAACCCCCACACTTTCTTTCCCCTGAGAATTGTCAGTCCACTCCCTTTTTATGCCCCTGATTCTGTTATATTCACCAGTTTATTCTGTCCATCAGATTTTTTATTCACTTGATTTTTAGAATCACTGTTGATAGATATCTATTTGTTGTCACTTTGTTGTTCATAATTTTTATTTTTACCTTTTTCTTCTTTCTCTTCTTAAAGAATACTCTTCAGCATTTCATATAATCCTGGTTTGGTGGTGGTGAACTTCTAAAGCTTTTTCTTGTCTGTGAAGTTCTTTATCTGACCTTCAACTCTGAATGACAGCTTTGCTGGGTAGCATAATCTTGGTTGTAGGTTCTTGCTATTAATCACTTTGAATATTTCTTGCCACTCACTTGTGGCCTGCATAGTTTCTGTTGAAGAATCAGCTGATAATCGTATGGGTGCTCTCTTGTAGGTAACTTAACTGTTTTTCTCTTGCTGCTTGTAAGATTCTCTCTTTGTCTTTTGCCCTCGACATTTTAATTATGATGTGCGTTGGTGTGGTCCTCTTTGGATTCCTCTTGTTTGGGGTTCTGTGTGCTTCCTGGACTTATAAGTCTATTTCTTTCACCAGTAGGGAAAGTTTTCTGTCATTCTTCAAATAGGTTTTTAATATCTTGCGCTCTCTCTCCTCTGGCACCCCATAATTCTGATGTTGGTATGCTTGAAGTTGTACCAGAGGCTCCTTACACTATCTTTATATTTTTGGATTCTTTTTGCTTTTTGCTTTCTGGTTAGGTGTTTTTTGCTTCTTCGTATTTCAAATCTTTGACTTGAATCTTGGGATCCTCTAGTCTGCTGTTGGATCTCTGTATATTATTCTTCATTTCAGTCAATGTATGCTTAATTTCTACTTGGTCCTTTTTCATATTCTTGAGGGTCTCTCTGAATCTCTAGAGGTTTCTAGAAGATTTTTGTGTTTTTTTTTTTTTTAGAAAACTCTTGATTACTCGTGGTTTTGAATTCTATATCCAGTTGTTTGCTTTCCTCCATCTGTTTCTTTGTCTCCACATTTTGGCTCAGTGGCTTTGTGTGCCAGGTGAGCGAGAAACATTGATCAGCTGCCTCCTGCACACTCCCTACTGGGGATGTGCCCACAGCCAATGTACATGCCCTTGACCGGAATCCAACCTGGGACCCTTCAGTCTGCAGGCCGACGCTCTATCCACTGAGCCAAACCAGTTTTGGCTATAATCTGTGTTCTTGATAATGACTGTTATATTTATTGAATATTTATATATATTCAAGGCACTGCATGTTTATTAATTCAGCAGTTTCTTTGAATGCTGGTGATGAGTTGGCACTGTCCTGGATGTTGAAGACACAATAGTGAGCAACCATTTGAAAATCCCTGTCTTCTTGGGGCTGACATCCTCATTAGAGTCTTTTGATAACCTTTTGAATATATACTCCTACTATTTAGATATTTTTATTGTTACTGTTACTATAGATATTTTTCTACTTTACAGATGAGGAAATTGAGGAACCAGAGAGGTTAAATTAGTTGCTCAAGGTCACACAGCCAGTAGGTGGCAGGACCAGGATTTCAACCAGGTCTGTCTGATTTTAGAACCTGTGTATTAGTTAACTATTGCTGCATAACAAATTACCCTAAAACATAGTTACTTGAAACAACTTAAGATATATTCTCTCAGTTTCTGTGGGTCAGGAATCCATGGGGCACAGTGAGGATGGCTGGTTTCTGCCTGACTGGGGCATCATCTAGGTGTGACCTGAAGGCTTATTCTTTCCATATGTGACACCTGGGCTGAGAAGACTCACTGGGGTTTCTTAGGCATTCTTACCCTGTTTCCCTGAAAATAAGACAGAGTCTTATATTGATTTTTTGTCTTATCTTTCCATGCACTAAGTATTATTTTCGGAGGATGTCTTATTTTCAGGGAAACATGGTATGTCCAAAAAAATCTCTTCAGCATGGTGTTTCATGATAGCTGGACTTCTCCTCCCCTTCCCCCTACCCCTCCTCCCTTTTTTTTTCTCCTTTCCCCTCCCTCCCCCTTCTCATTCCTCTCCTCCCCCTCTCTTTTCTCCTCTCTTCCCCCTTCCCTTCCCCTCCTTCTTCCCCTCCACCTTCTCCTCTTCTTCCTTCCTCTTCTTTCTCTTATTCTTCTTTTTCCTCCTCCTCCTTCTCCTTTAAAAAAATTATTTTTTAGATAGAGAGTTAGAAACATCGATGAGAGAGAAACATCTATCAGCTGCCTCCTGTACACCCTCTACTGGGGATGTGCCCACAAACAAGGTATATGCCCTTGACCGGAATGGAACCGGACCTTTCAGTCCGCAGGCTGACCCTCTAACCACTGAGCCAAACTGGGTAGGCTTTCATGTCCATTTTGTAAGAAGACTGTATGGATGGGGCTATGTATTAGTGTGGGCATCTTTGGAAAATACAGTCTGCCACAGATTATTTTCCTAACCTTTAAGTTATACTGTTGAATTTTAAAAATTTATCATGAAATTGATCTCTGCTCACTTAAACAAACAAAAACCAAACAAACAAAAAAAACCCCTCAAACAAAACAGAATAGACGTGTATGAAGCAAAATACAGAAGTCCTCTGTCCCTCCCACCACACCCCCTTTCCATTTCCCATTTGGTGGTATCTTTCTAGACATACCCGATCATGTACAATAACGCATCTTTAACATAAAATTGGTGAGGGCCAACCTTTTGAGGATATCAAGGACATTATTTTTTTCTTCTTCTTCCCCACCCCTTTACACTTTCGATGGGACTGAGATAGTTACTGGGGTGCTGGCCTGTTGGGAACGACACTAACACTTCGTGTGCCAGCTCACATTTTGTATTATTCGATATGAACTGATATACGATGAAATGTATTTTCTGTTCACCAAAGTCTCATTTTGGATCCTACTGAAGTAGCTTTTCTCCCCCTTTCTTTTTCAGCTTGAAGGTTTACTTATACTGTTCACCTGTTACTAAAGAATTATTGTTAACTAGCCCAAAATACAGGTTTTGGGAGAAAAGAATTGTAAGTTTTATTTTTTCGATGATGCCAATTTTTTTTTTTTAACTGTGAAATACTGTTTGAGGTAGATTGAACAAAACATTGGAATTATTCAAAGTCCAACTCCTCGCACACTATTGTTCATGATAATATTGATATTTAGCCTTTATGATTAAGAAGTTTAAAAGAGGACAACATTTTATATTTGAGTTTGCTTTTCTTGTCCCTCAATAGTTTAATCTTGGTTCTTAGTTTTATCTCTGAATCTCTGGCTAAGTTGCATTTTACTACTCTAAAGTGTAAAATGGTCATTAACATAATTAATAAATAATTTATTTAGACCATGGGATAGTTTAGGAAAAATAAATAAAACTATGGGTTAAGAACCAAAATAAAAATAGAATGAGTAATTTTGAATCTGGCAGAATAAAATGAATCTAATTAATGGAAGGGAGATACAGTAATGGGGAGAAAAACAGAAGTATGCTACTTAGAAAATGTGAAGACGCCAGGAAAAGTTTTGCTATAACAGTAATTACTATAAATATCAATGGATTTAATTTAATTATTGATCAAAAGACAAATTCTCAGTTGAGGTTAAAAAATAAGAAAAATCCACTAACCTTAGTCTGCAAGAGATATAGTTAAAACATAAAGGATAAATTGAGGTTAAACTGGGAATAAAAAGGGAAAACTTGTAGTAAACAATTAGATTCTAAAAATGCTAGAGTGGCAATTTTTATATCATACCAAGTAGAATTGAAAGCAAAAAAAAAAAAAAAATTCTTAACTTTCAAAGAGGATAATATTTACTATTAAAAGGAACAATGGATCAAGAAGATATGAAGGTACATGTAATTGACAAGATAACATCAAACTAGATAAAGTAATAACTAATCATCCATACTTGATTAGAGAAAAATAACCACAGTAAGTGAATAGAATTAGGGCTCATTATGTGGGTTTAACCCTAAGTAACTGTGGGAATTGGCAGATAAGTCTGAACAAGTTCGTAATCTATTTGTTGTTAGACTGCTGACAGCTTTCAATTTCCCCCTCCACACTCTCTGAAAAACAATGGGAAAAATATCCTTGGGAGAGGATTTGCAACAACAAAAAAGATGCATATAAAAATACAGAATGATAAAAGAAAATTAATAACCAATGCATTTTTTGATAGTTGTTATAAAAACTATTTGATACGTATTGTATTTGATAATTTAGACAGAGTGGATAGATATCTGGAAAAGTAGGAAAATATAAAATTGAGGCAAGAAAAGTGGAAAACTTGAATAAATTAGTAACCATCCAAAAAATTAAAACAATTTTTAAAGATTTCTTCTTAAATAAAGCTCCAGGCCCAGATAATTTTATAGGTGCATTTGCCAAATATTAGAGAACAAATAATCCATGTACTAGATGAATTGTTGTAGGAGATAAAAAGATAAGTCACTCAACCCTGCTGCCAAAATCCTATATAATAAAAGTATAGTATGCAAATTGCCCCTTCTGCCAGGAGTTTGACCAGAGGGTGAGCCAGCAGGGGGAAAGGAGTGAGGTCTCAGCACTGGCAGGCAGCTAAGTGAAGGTAGGGAAAACCCGGCGGCAGCTGGCAGCCACTAGGTACCCTACAAGTGCATGAATTTCATGCACTGGGCCTCTAATAGATAATAATAGTACATGGGAGGGTAAGGCGATTGCATATCCTAATATATAAAAAGCCAGGGGCTGTGACGACCTAAACAACCAGACGACCGAAAGCAGGCTGTATGGGATAACATGGCCTGCAGGGGGGGCAGTAAGGGACAACCAGGACAGTATGGGAGGGGGCAGTTGAGGGAGACCAGGCTGGCGGGGGACGGGGGTGGGGCAGTAAGGGCGACCAGGCAGGCAGGCAAGTGAGCACTTAGTTGCCAATCGCCCAGGATTATAAGAGGTTTGTCCCGACTGCCGGTCAGGACATCCTTTGAAGGGTCCCAGATTGGAGAGGGTACAGGCTGGGCTGAGGGGACCCCCCACCCTCCGTGCATGAATTTTGTGTACTGAGCATCTAGTGTAAACTTAAAAAGGTGAAGAATTAAGCTCATTCGTTCATCATCTACTTATTGAATGCCTCTCTGTCTTAGCTATTGTTTTAGTAAAATGTGCAAGTACACCTTGGAGCACTCTGTAGCAGCTCAGATATATGAATTAGGCCAACATATCAGGGATGGATTCACACTGTTCTGTGGCACAAAACTTAAACACGTAGAACACATAACTGTGTGTTTTACAAAGACTCAGGTTTAAGAGATGGGGAGGTGAAGGGGGGAAGATTGAATTTATGGAAATACAATTAGGACAGAGGAGATATGAGTTTATAAGGCACTTAATATATGCTACCACATTAACCTCAGAAAGGTATTATTTTAGCTTTATCATGTTTTCAGGCTGTTTAAAATATTTATTTTAGTGAATATTATAGAGAGCCTATAACTTCTTCTCTTAGTCCCCTTTCTATGTTTGAGATGGCAAAGGCCTATAAAGCAATGAAAAACTATGGAAATATATAATATGATGTATTCATGACCTCTTATTTTATTTTAATAGATATCAATTGAAATTGAAACTCCTACCCAGATATCTTTAATTGATGAAGCATCTGGCGAGGTAACTAAATATTAAATGTCATATTTTTGAAAATTAATACTTAGTGCTAAAATGATTATTTACCTTTCGCCTTGATTTTGAATGTTCATTTAACTATAAATAAAAGTTATAATAATTGAGTGAGTTTGTGGGAAAATACACCATGTATAACATACTTATTTTATACCTCCCAAGGACTGCATATAACTTCTGCCAGAAGGGCTCCTTTCTAATATTACATGTTAATGATGGGAATGCCAGTTGTTGATATTACTATGAGATGTCATTGTCACATTTAATAAGCTAATTATAAATGTTCAGGATATAAAATGGTGCTTAATATTTTTGCAGCAAATTTATGTATATTATGATTTTTTTTCTGAATCATTGCATTTTCTTTTTCATCTTTTTCTCTTTTCTTCTCCCCACCTATGAATCTTTTTCCTATTCAAGAAAAAAACCTGGCCCAAGTAGATCTAGTATTTATTTTTTGTCCTTAAATTTAGAAGAAGGTGCTTTTGTGTTGTGATTTTATTATTTTAATAATAAATAGAACTGTTGACCTACCTTTTATTTGCTGTTTCTTTTAAAAATATATTTTTATTGACTTCAGAGAGGAAGGGAGCGGGAGAGAGATAGAAATATCCATGATGAGAGAGAATCATTGATTAGCTGCCTCCTGCACACCCCACACTGGGGATCGAGTCTGCAACCCAGGCATGTGTCCTGATTGGGAATTGAACCGTGACCTCCTGGTTCATAGGTTGTCGTTCAATCACTGAGCCACACTGGCTGGGCTTATTTGCTGTTTTTATCTCAAATTATACCTAGAGCTAGGAGGTATTTTCCTAATTTTTGGCAAATCAGTGAATATATGTTCCACAGTCTGATTACCAGTATAAACTGCTTTGTAGACATGGTAAACTCTGAGGGGGTCCTTTGTTGTGAGACTGTGATCAGACAGGCCCTGACTTTTCACATTTCCTCTTTGGTGAGGATCAGGCATTTGAAGTACTCTTCATCAAATCATTGTCCTGAGGGAGGACTGCATGGCCAATTTAGGGTGGGTTAAAGGATGGCCTGAACCTTTCTCAGTGCCAACCTGAAATCAATTAGCTGACATGTTTTGCTACCTTATGACATATGTTGGTGAAAGGCTTTCTTAAAATTGGGCCCTAGGCAGCAGATAGCTCTCATTGAGCAGACTCTTCTATCCTATTCAGTCCCTTAATGTTTCTTTTTGTGCTTTGTGACTTGTGTGTGTTGTGTTTCAAGCTCTAACCAGTAGGAGACCCTGTTTTAAAGGGGCCTTTGGAATGAATGAAGTTAGACTTATGGGAGAAGCTGGTGTGTCCAGAGCTCTGCTCACTTCATCCCCTACTCCGTCCCCATTCTGCCCTGAGGACTGAGAGGCAGTATTGCTCATCAGGCTCAGTTCCAACAGGATGGTGTGCAGTATGGTGACTTGGGACAAGGCTACATCAAGCTTGCTTGCTTGCTTGCTTGCTTGCTTGCTTTATTTATTTATTTATTTATTTATTTATTTATTTATTTATTTAAAAATAACAGCTTTATGAGATCGAATTCACATACCTTAAGGTGTACATTTCAATGGTTTTTAGTATATTTACAGACATATCCATCACCATAATCAATTTAGAATATTTTCATCACTCAAAAAGAAACCCTCTACCCATTAGCAGTTACTCCCTAATTCTTCCTCCCCTCTGCCCCTAACAACCACTATTTCACTTGAAATCTCTATAGATTGCCTATTCTGGAAATTTCATATAAATTGCATCAGACAAATTTGACTTCTTTCACTTTACCTAGTGCTTTCAAAGTTTATCCATGTTGTAGTATATATCAGTATTTCATTTCTTTTTATGGTCAAATATTATCTCATTGTATGGAGAGACCACATTTTGTTTGTTCATTCATCATCTGCTAGACCTATGTATGGACTGTTTCTTCTCTTTGGCTAGTATGAATAATGCCACTTTGACCACTCATGTACAGGTTTCTGTGTGGATCTAAGTGTTCATTTCTCTTGTGTATGTACACGAGTGTTCATTTGCTATAACAAATTGTAACTCAATGTTTAACTATTTTGTGGCAAGGATTCCACTTGTTTTCAGAGTTTGGAGAGAGAGAGGAAATAAGGAGAAAAGGCACATTCTTGAGAAGTACTTGAATATTACTAAGGAGGGATTTATTTCGCCTGGTCCTAATGATTATTATTTTTTTCTTTATTTTTCTTTCTAGAAGGAAGAGATTGTTGTGACTCTCTTACCAGCTGGTCATTGCCCAGGATCAGTTATGTAAGGGAACTCATCTATTTAGTCATTTTAGTATATGTAGAATTGTCTAATATTTGTAGAAATACGTTTTTAAGGTCTAGCAACTAATATGTATAGGGAGAGTTGATTATTTTTATGGCACTTTCTTTAATCTTTGTTTCCAAATTGAACTTGGTGGGGGGGAGCGGCTGAGGTGAATATCAAGTTTGAAATGTGGGTTTCTTTATCACGGAAGTCTTCAGTAGCTATTCCTCCATTATTGGTTTTTACATTTTCCTATCACATGGGTTTTTCTATCCATGAAAGGAATGATCTCGATATATAGTTGGGAGTGCTGACATATTTCTGGGGACATTGATTGCAAACTCAATGGATTTTTCATGTGCCATTTTTTCCTCCCCATGGAACACGTGGCAACTGAGTGCCAGGTGTGGTTTAGAGCTTATTAAAATTCCATTAATTCTAGGTCATAGTGGCTGTCTTTGGCAGGAAACATTTGCTGTGGAATTAGCATTTGCTTTATTAGGGTTTTGTATGAAACTGAGACATCACTAATATATATATTTCTTTACAGGTTTTTATTTCAGGGTGATAATGGAACGGTCTTGTACACAGGAGACTTCAGATTGGCCAAAGGAGAAGCTGCCAGAATGGAGCTTCTGCATTGTGGGGGCAGGTACTGGGCTTTGTGTAAGGCTGCACCATCGAAAAAGTTTTATTACCCCCTTTGCCCCAAATACAAGCTTTTGCTTTTCTTAGAAATCAAATTTGATTGTAATAGTAAAGCTAATTTTTACTCTTGAAGCATTTTTCTTCAACAACATTCTGTGTGTTGATTGGCATAGTAGATAAGTGAATTTTTCTAAGTTCACATATCAACCATATGTGCAAAATCTGTATATTTTATTGTATGTAAAACACTTCTCAGCAAAGTTGTTTTAACAAAATACTCCAAATGGAATGGAACATTCTGTAAAATAATTGAGGATTTAAACTTTCTAGATGCTTATTTCATATTAGCTTAACATCAATTTTTTCCCCCTCCCAGGGTGAAAGACATCCAAAGTGTGTACTTAGATACTACTTTCTGCGATCCCAAATTTTATCAAATTCCTAGTCGAGTAAGTCTCTCTGGAGAAGTGGGGTGAAAACCTGGGCATGGCATAATTCTAATAGAAAGTTTGTGGGATAACAAATCAGGTCATAATTGTCCCCACTGGCATTAATGTTTGTGGAATGTTGGGAATGGAAAGAAAGTGTAAGTGTGATATTCTTTTTTTTTATACTTTCATAATCTCAGATTTATTTATTTGTTGTTGAATTTATTGGGGTAACATTGATTAATAAAATTGTATATGATTTGGGTATAGAGTTCTATAAGACATCATCTGTATATTGTATTGTGTGTTCACGACCCCAAGTCAAGTCTCCTTCCATCACCATTTAATCCACCTTTACCGTCTTCTACCTCCCCCCATTCAATAACCATACTTTTCTCTGTTCTTGAGTCTTTGCTTAATCTCTTCACTCTTCTCACCCAGCTCCCAACCCCTGCTCCTCTGACAGCTGTCTGCTCTCTGTAACCATGAGTTTGTCTCCACTTTATTAGTTTATTTTTTTCATTTGATTCCACATAGAAGTGAAATCATGTGGTACTTGTTTTTTTCTGAATGGCTTATTTCACTGGGTAAATGATAGTCCTAAAGTTGTTAAATGCCGTTTAATAAAACATCTTGCCAGGGAGAGTGTCTGAGCGGAATTTCGGAGCTGGTTCGGAGCTGGGTCACTCGGAGTCCATACCATGTCGTGTGGCTGAACTGCAAAGCAGCGTATGGGTATGAGTATCTGTTCACCAACCTCAGTGAGGAATTTGGACTCCAGGTATGCTGGCAGCTCTTTCTTTTCTGCTGCTCCTTTTTATCCTCCCCACTTCACCTTCCTACCCCTCTCAACCCCACCAAAACGGAAAACAGAGATGGAAACAGCCTGTCAAAACATGTGTGTGGCCCAGGTTGGCAGCCCCTCTGAAGTAACTTCATCTTTGTTTATTCACGTCCACATGGGAGGACTTGGCAGTGACCCAGATAGCTGGGAAGCACCCTTTGCTGAAATGTCCCATAGAGAAAGTATTTTTTTTCAAAATCCATGGCCCATGAAATAAATTTAATGATTATGATCAGCAATGTGAATAAATTTAACTAGAGAATATTTGAGTATATTGCTTGCAGAGTAATTACTATTTTATGAACATTTATGAAGGAATTGGACACAATACACATATGTGTATTGGGTTACTGTGGAAAACATATTTCTTACTGTGGGTCATGGTAAAAAAATGTCCACACAAACCTGTCCCAGAACACTGATCTCTTTGGATCTGTATCTGATCAGGCTGGGAGGGAGTTTTCCTTTCCCTTCCAGATGATCCAGTGCAGGGCTCTCAGCAGTCTGGGCTGAGAACCTAGTGTGTGTGTTGTGAGTGCTGTTGAGCAGGGAGCCCTTTTCCGCTGAGCCACATGGAGCCTGTGGCTTCTGCCTTGTCCCCTAAGACAAGATTTTTGGTAACAGTGCTGAATAAACGAAGTGCCGGATTACTTGGGCATTTAAGTTGTACCTTGCCTAGACCCCGCAGCGAACTTGTGCAAAGAATTTAAGGATTATATACAATGTAATTTACTAAAAAAAGAAGATCCAGTTTTTTTGTATTTGAGATTTTAAAATTCTTCTAGCCCTTCCTGCCTTCATAAGTCTTTGACTTCTTAAGTCCTTTTTTTCTTAATTTATTCCTTCCTTAAATCGTCTGTCCTAATATATTGGTGTAAAGTTGCCAGTTCTCCATTTTAGGAAGGATTTACATTCATTCTGAGATTTTTGGTGTTAAAATTGCCTTTTCCCCCCTTCATAACTATTTTTTTTTTTTAAGCTGAGCCTTTCAGTGAGGCCATCAAGTAAATATTTTGTATCCATGAAGGGCTGTGTAGCAGCACCATTCACAAATTTGTGCATAGGTGTCAGTAATATACTTTAATCTTATAACAGACATGATTGATTAAAAAAAAACTTAGAAATATGCATCTGAAAGGAATTAAGTTGCTGCAGACAAAAATAGTTCTTGTTGTAATCCTCAAGTAAGAAATCCAGTTTTTTTTTTTTTTAATTTATTTTTACAATTGAGAGTATTACAGATGTCCCCCTGTTTCCTCCCTTAGCCCCTCTCCATCTGGCTTCTGCCCACTCCAGGCCTTCACTGCACTGTTGTCTGTCCATGAGCTATGCTTGTATGCATGTACATTATTTGGTTAATCTCTTCTTGACCCCCCCTCCCTCTTTAAAATGGCCTTTTAGCCGAAACCAGTTTGGCTCAGTGGATAGAGTGTCGGCCTGTGGACGGAAAGGTCCCAGGTTCGATTCCGGTCAAGGGCATGTACATTGGTTGCGAGCACATCCCTGGTAGGGGGTGTGCAGGAGGCAGTTGGTCAATGTTTCTCTCTCATTGATGTTTCTAGCTCTCTATCTCTCTCCCTTCCTCTCTGTGAAAAATCAATAAAATATATTTAAAAAATAAAATAAAATAAAATGGCCTTTTAAACCAGAATCAACAGGTTGTGTGTACACATGTATGTACTATCCACTATTTTTCCCCTCATGCCCTTTCTTGGCAGAATATACCGGTAATAACTATTTACCAGTCCCAAATCTGTTTTGCAAATTTTAGCGGCGTGTGACATTGAGCAGGCTGGAATCTCCTGCTCTGCATGCCTTGCAGGAAGAAACCATGGACTGAGAAGGGACTGGGGATGAGGGAGAGCACCCCTTCACTGAACCTCAGTCAGCCTGCAGGGAGTCCCTCTTAATCTCTCTTGGGGGAATAGAAACAATTTCAGATTAGGATTTTAAAAGGGAGACCCGTGAGGCTTTTCACTAAGGAACCTCAGCGATGACCTATGGCAGTTTTTTCAGATTTCTTTATTGTGAGGGTGAAAGTTTCTATTTTATCCCCTCCTCCCCCCCGCCCTTGCCTTTTTAATCTCCTTTTCGGAGAGGCCAGAAAAGCAAATTCATTGTTACTTCTTAGTCCTTAATAGACAGGGAGTGGAACAGGTCACAGGATAAGTGTTTATGCTTTGATTCTTTTTATACCTGTCTTGGTATTAATTGTCACAGCAATTTGGCATTATTCTAATCTGTTTTGTTCAAAATGAGAATACATTTTTTAAAAATAAATCTTTATTGTTCATATTATTACAAATGTTCCTCATTTTTTCCCCCTCTATTGCTCCCCTCCACCAGGTTCCCACCCCCCCAGTGTCCTCATCCATAGGTGCACAGTTTTTGTTCAGGCTCTTCCCACACCCTCCACTCCCCTTTTCCCCGAGAATCATCAGTTCACTCCCCTTCCATACCTCTAATTCTATTATATTCTCCAGTTAATATTGTTCATCAGGTTTTTTAATTCCCTTGGCTTTTAGTTTCACTTGTTGATAGTTACGTATTTGTTGATCATAATTTTTATCTATATTTTCTTCCTCTTCCTAAAGAACCCCCTTCAGCAATTCATATAATTCTGGTTTGGTGGTGATGAACTCCTTTAGCTTTTTTTAATTTTATTTGTGAAGCTCTTTATTTGGCCTTCAATTTTGAGTGATAACTTTGCTGGGTAGAGTATTTTTGGCTGTATGTTCTTGCTGTTCATCACCTTGAATATTTCTTGCCATTCCCGTCTGGCCTGCATGGTTTCTGTTGAGAAATCAGCTCACAATCATATGGGTGCTCCTTTATAGGTAACTATCTACTTTTCTTTTGCTGCTTTTAATATTCTCTCTCTGTCCTTTGCTCTTGGAATTTTAATTATGATATGTCTTGGTGTGGTCCTCTTTGGATTCCTTTTGTTTGGGGTTCTGTGGGCTTCCTGGACTTGTAAGTCTATTTCTTTCCCCAGGTGGGGGAAGTTTTCTGTCACTATTTCTTCCAGTATTCTTTCGGTATCTTGTTCTTTCTCTCCTTCTGGGACCTCCATAATTCTGATGTTGGTTTGTTTGAAATTGTCCCAGAGGTTTCTTACACTATCTTCAACTTTCTGGATTCTCTTATCTTCTTGCTTCTGTGGAGGAGTGTCCTCTGGCTCTTTGTGTTCCAAATCTTTGACTTGATTCTTGCGATCTTCCATTCTGTTTTTAGGACTCTGTATAATATTTTTTATTTCAGACAATGTATTCTTTATTTCTAGTTGATCCCTTTTCATATCCTCATAGGTCTCATTTATTTTATCGGCCTTTTCTAGGAAATTATTGAAAAACCTTATAAGCGTGGTTTTGAACTCTATATCCAGTCGCTTTTTGTCCTCCATTTCTTTTTTTTGTGATCTGTTTCCTTGTCTTGGCATTTTCACAGCTTTCCTGAGTTGGTAGGGTGGCTTTGTGTGCTAAGGTGTCCTATATGGTTGAGTGGGTCAGCCTCCCAGTTACCTGAGGTGGCAGTCTTGGTGTAGCCCTTTGTGGGCTATGTGTGCAGTCTTGTTGTTAAACCTTGCTTGTTGATATCACTGGGAAGCGTTGATCTCCAAGCCAATTGGCTATGAGTATCAGAAGTGTCTCAGCTAGGAGGGTTTCTGTATTCTGCTTGGATGGGGTGGAGTCTCAGGGTGGCACAGCCAAGCTTTGGTGAATCCCGCAAGATTGGTTGCAGGCGTACACACCTCTTTGGTATAGGTGCAGAAAAGCTTTGGATTGCTGTCTGTCCCTCCCTAGGAGAGTCCTATTCGTGGAGAATGAGAAAGCTAGCCACTGGAAGGGCTTCTGTGCTCCGCTTGGATTGGGGTGGAGTCTCGGGTGGTACAGACAAGCTTTATTCAGCCCCTCCCTACGAGGGTCTGGTTTCTGAGTCCCGCAGTAATGGCTGCTGGCTTCACACACACCTCCAAGAGATCTCTGCCCACTGCCTGACAGTCTGGCCTCTCCCTGTCTGGGGCTGTCTATCAGAGCAATAGGGTGGTTCTGTTTTCCTCCCGAACTAAAAAGCTAGCCGCCACGCATTAGCTGTCCGCCCTCTCTGTGCGCAGGGAATAAGCCAGCAGCGAATTCGGCCCGCCCTCTCCGCGCGGCGAGCAAGTGAACTCTGGCCTTTTGGCGCGAATAGTTCTCCGCTCCTTCACAGTTCTTGAGGTTCAGCGGGCCTTCTCTCTCAGCCAGCTGTCCAGCGCTTCAGGGCGATGTTTCCCCTGTTTTCCAGTTCTAAATTCAATTTTGTTGTGGTAGACTGCATTCAGGTGACTACCCTATGCCGCCATCTTGGTTTCTCGAGAATACTTTTTTTGGTGCCATTTCATAATCTTTATATCAACTTAGGTAAGTAGGTTCTTGAATAATATTTCTTTCAGTGTTTCATTATGTCAATAAGATGCCTTAGGAACTTTTGTTTATATCAGCTAATCTATGGTAAAAAGTTGGTTTTGTTGTATGTCATTTTGCTTAGTTCCAAGAACCTACTGATGATGTTAAGAACCAGCTGGGAGCTTTAGGTAAAACTGATACATTGGCTTTAGTACTTAAAATGTATTAGCCTTAAAATTCTAAATAGGACCAATGTTTTTTTGTTTTCTCTGCTTCTGCCCTCCCCGTTTACATCCAGTAAAGAGGTGTGTGGTAAGAGAGGATGGGTCTCTGCTTCCTAGGCCAGCTCTCCTCCCCCTGCATGTATGTTGTGTGCCTATGTTTATGAGTGATTCCTTTTTGTTTTGTTAATCCTCACTGGAGGACACATTTTCCCCATTGTTATTTAGAGAGAGTGAAAGAGTGGAAGGGAGGGTGAGAGACAGAGAGAGAAACATTGATTGAGACACATTGATTGGTTGCCTCCCACACGTGCCCCAACTGGGCCGGTGATTGGGCCTGCAACCAATGTATGTGTCTTTGACCAGAACAAACCTGACCCTTTAGTGCAAGGGCCAATGCTCTATCCACAGAGCAAGACTGGCTAGGGCAGATTTTTTATTGCTGCGTTCACTGCTGTATACCTAATCTATACTAATAAAAGGTTAACATGCTAATTAGGGTGGATGTCTTCCGGATGTCCTTCCAGACAATGTTGCAGCAGCTGTGAGGGCTGAGGTGTGGCTGTGAGACACACATGGGTGGCTTCAAAGAGCCAGGTTGCCTCCTGCAGAGGGAGGCCAGACTGTGGCTTAGGATGGGGCCGAGGCAGAGGCAATTAGGGATGACCAGGCCAGCAGGGGTGCAAGTTAGGGGTTGTCAGACTGGCAGGGGGGGAGTAGGAGTGATCAGGCTGGCAGGCAGAGGCAGTTGGCCTAAACCGGCAGTTGGACATCCCCCGAGGGGTCCCAGATTTGAGAGGATGCAGGCTGGGCTAAGGGACTTCCCCCACCTATGCACGAATTTCATGCACTGGGCCTCTAGTCTATAATAATAAAAGCGTAATATGCTAATTAGACCAGATGTTTTTCTGGACTACCTTCCAGATGAAGCTGGGGCTGCAAGGGAAGCCGGGTCCTGGGTGCCAGAGGGAAGCAGGTGCCGGCCATGGGGGGAAGGAAGGCCTACTTTTGCATGAATTTCATGCATCGGGCCTTTAGTATTTAGAATAAAGCTTGATATATTGTAAGTGTACAATAGATATTAATCCACCAATTGGATCTGAAATCCACCAATTGAATCTGCAGAATTTTTTCTTACCACCAACAATAGGTGGTAACACTGACTGGTGGGAATAGGACCTTTGTTCTTTGCCTGTTGACATCCTGACAGAATACTAATGTGCACTGAAACGCCAAAAACTAGGTTTTAAGAAAGAAGAGTTCCCTAACTGGATGATTTATCCCTGCAAAATTACTCTCGATTAATTTATTTGTAGGAATTACAGTTCAAATAATTTTCTTATCTAATTTTCCTCAGGTTCATGTGGATAAATTAGACATGTTTCGAAACATGCCTGACATTCTTCATCATCTTACCACAGACCGCAACACTCAGATCCATGCTTGTCGCCATCCAAAGGTACAAAGTAAATTGCCTTTTATAGTGTTTTTTTTTACTTATATATTTAAAAAATAATTCTTTATTGTTGAAAGTATTACATATGTCCTCTTCTTTCCCCATTGATGCCCTTCAACCTGTCTGAGTCCCCTGCCCCAGACCCTCACCTCCGCATTGTCTGTGTCTATGGGCCATGCATATACGCATAGAAGGTCCTTGGTTGATTACCTCCCACCCACACACCCGCCCCTGCCTTGCATCTGAGATTCCACACTCTGTTCCAGGCTTCCATGTCTCTGGAACCACTCTGTTCATTAGTTTATTTTTTACTTATATCCCACATATGAATGAAATCATGTGATACTTATCTTTCTTTGACTGACTTATTTTACTTAGCATGATATCCTTCAAGTCTCTCTATGCTATCTCAAAGGGTAAAATATTCTTCTTTTTTTTACTGCTGTATAGTATTCCATGGAATAAATGTACTACAGCTTTTTTATCCACTAATCTATTGATGGGGAGTTGGGCTGTTTCCAGATCTTAGCTATTGTAAATTGTACTGTTATGAACATAGAGGTGCATACATTCTTTCTGATTGGTATTTTGGGTTTCTTAGGATATATTCCTAGAAGTGGGATCACTGGGTTAAATGGAAGTTCCATATTTAATTTTTTTAGGAAACTTCTATACTGATTTCCATAATGGCTATACTAGTCCACATTTCAACTAGCAGTGTACAAGGGTTCCCTTTTCTCCACATCCTTGCCAGCATTTGTCATTTGTTGATTTGTTGATGGTAGCCATTCTGATAGATGTGAGGTGATACCTCATTGTTGTTTTAATTTGCATCTTTCTGATGATCAATGACTTTGATCATTTTTTTATATGTCTCTTGCTCATTGTATGCTCTCTTTGGAGAAGTGTATCTATTTAGGTCCTTTGCCCATTTTTTAATTGGATTATTTGTCTTCCTTCTGTTAAGTTGTATGAGTTTCTTATATATTTTGGATATTAACCCTTTATCAGATGTATCATTGTCAAATATGTTCTCCCATACAGTGGGCTCCCTTTTCGTTTTCTTGATGGCTTCTTTTGCTGTGCAGAAGCTTTTTATTTTGAAATATCCCATTTGTTTATTTTCTCTTTAGTTTTCTTTGTCCTAGGAGATGTATATGTAAACATATTGCTACGAGAGATATCTAAGATTTTGCTGCCTATGGTTTCTTCTAGGATTTTTGTTGTTTCATGACATACATTGAAGTCTTTTATAACCATTTTGAGTTTATTCTTGTGTCTGGTCTAAGTTGGTGGTCTAATTTTACTTTTTTTACATGTATCTGTCCAAATTTCCCCAAATCATTTATTGAAAAGACTGTCTTGACTCCATTGTATATTCTTGCCTCCTTTGTCAAAAATTAATTGAGTATAATGGCTTGAGTCAATTTGTTCTGTTCCATTGATCTATATGCCTGTTCTTCTGCCAGTACCAGGCTGTTTTGATTACAGTGGCTTTGTAGTATAACTTGAAATCTGATATTATGATTCCTCCAACTTGGTTCTTCTTTCTCAAGATTTCTGGCTATTTGAGGTCTTTTATGGTTCCATAAACATTTTTGGAACATTTGTTCTGGATCTGTGAGCTATGCTGTTGGTCTTTTAATAGGGATTACATTGCATCTGTAGATTGCCTTGGGTAGAATGGACATATACATATACACAACCAGAGAATTCGTGGATGGATAAAAAAAATGTAGATACAAAATGAAACTCCTTTTTCTGTTGGACTTAGTCTTTGATTCCCTAATATCCCATAAATCTTATAATTGGCCAATTTCTTTTTTTCACTCTGAGTTTTTTCACATCCACGAAGCAGCTTAATTTGTAACCTACACCTGTAATTTCCCACACGGCTACTTGCTTTGAACAACTTCTAGCAGCTTAAGAGGTTTCTTAAGTTTCATCGTGTCACAAATACTGAGCAGAGCACAGCTCACAGAGCCCTGTGACAGCTGATAGGAAGCCTCAGAGGAAGCAGCACTAAAGGCTCTGGATGATGTGTGATAAATGAAGTGCTTGTGGTTTTGAAGGATCCTGATCTAAACATAATATTTTGGGGACAGTAGTCCCATTGTTTTTCAACCTTTTAAAGACACTTTTATTCTTTTCCTCCAACTTTACTTTGAAAAATTTAGAAACTATAAAGTTATGAGATTGGATTCCCCAGTCTGTTAACATTTTGCCACATTTGTACTCTCGTCCCCTACCCCCCACTCTGTAATCAGAACTGCATCACTCTACCTCCAACCCATTTGAGGATCAGTCACAGACTTCATGATACCTCACCCTAAACCTTCAGCATGTATCATTGGAGAAAAGATCCTCCTGTACAACTACAATACGCTTCCCACACTCATGAAATTTATGATATGATTGGGTATTTTATGGTCCATACAGTATTCAATTTTCCTAAATTGTCCATTAGTATCCTTTATAGCTTGTAGAGTGGATACAGGGCATTTAGGATTTAATGAAGAATCATTAAGATGTCTCTTTTGTGTCATTTAATGGAAATCATATCTTCAACATTTTGCTTTTCTTCCATCACATTGATATTTTGGAGATTCCCAGCCAGTTGTTTTGTAGGAAGTTTCTCACTTTGGAATTAGCTGATTGTTTCCTCATGTCCCCATTTCTTTTTTCTTTTTTTCTTTTCATGTCTGAAAACTTATCTATTTCTTTTGTTATTGAGACCCTGCCTGCAAATATATTTGTTGGAGGAAAAAAACCTGCTTTCCTATATTTTTAATTTCTTTTTTTTTTTTTTTTTTTTAGGCAGAGGAATATTTTCAATGGAATAAGTTACCCTGTGGAATTACTTCCAAAAATAGAATCCCACTCCACACAATCAGCATTAAGCCATCCACAATGTGGTTTGGAGAAAGAACCAGAAAAACAAATGTAATTGTGAGGTAAGAAAGCACTGCTATAGGTCTTCTGAGAGAAATCCTGCTTTGAGGTAAACTGTCTGATTTATTTTAGTTTAAATGCAATCTAGCGTAAGCCTAAGAAGAGGATATCTACAATAATAAAAGAGTAAGATACAAATTGACCGTACCTTTGCGATGCCCTCAGCCTATCAGGAGTATGCAAATTAACCACCAACAAAGATGGTGGTTAATTTGCATACGCAGGCGCTGAGCGGTGTGTGTGTGGGGGATGCTTGCGTGGTTGCCATGGTTATGATGCAGGTGTTCTACACTGCCCCAGCTGCTCCAGGCCCCTGGGCAGCATGGAAAGTTGGAAAGGCGGCTCTGGGCCAGAGCAAAAAGGTGGCTCCGGGCCGGAGTGAAGGCAGTGCCAGCAGCCAGGGGAAGGAAGACCTATTCTTGAATGAATATTTATAATATAAAAATAATATGCAAATTGACCCTAATAGCAGAACAACCAGTCGTTGTGATGTGCACTGACCACCAGGGGGCAGATGCTTAACACAGGAGCTGCCCCCTGGAGGTCAGTGTGCTCCCAGAGGGGGAGTTATGCTCAGTTACAAGCCTGGCTAATGGCTTTGAGTGCAGTGGTGGTGGCGGGAACCTCTTCCATTTGTGTGGCAGCACTAAGGATGTCTGTCTGACCACTTAGGCCTGATCCTCCAGGGAGCAGGCCTAAGCTGGCAGGTGAACATCCCCCAAAGGCCCCAGGCTGCCAGAGGGATATCTGAATACCACCTTAGGCCCAATACCCTGGGGAGCGGGCCTAAGCCGGCAGGTGGACATCCCCTTGAGCAGTTCCGGAATGTAAGAGGGTGCAGGCCGGGCAGAGGGACTCCCTATTCCTCCCTCCCCTGAGTGCATGAATTTTCATGCACCGGGCCTCTAGTGTATTATAATTGTAGAAAATAACTTCTGAAATTTAAACTAAAGAGAAGCTGATTCAAACTTGTATCATAGTTAATACCATCAGCCAGTATTTCCTGAGGCCCAGCTAGTTGGTAGATACGATGGTTGGAAACTGTGAGTGTCTTGCTTGGCAAGAAGGTGGTAATGGCTTGATGTTGGAGGAAACAGAGCCCTTGAAGTGAAATATAAAGAGTACCATAATGATTATCATTTGGGGGCAACTTTTCCTTAATATTAGCTGTTCAGAAAGTCTACATATATTTATATTTCTGAAAAGAGTCCCTTCGTGTTCCAGGAATAAATTCTTAATTGTAACTTATTTTTGCTGGAATAGCCTAATGGAAATGCTTGAAATTAAGAACTTTGCTTAGTTTTGATAAGTGTACTTTTAATTCTGTGTTTTCATTTCCCTTTAGGACTGGAGAGAGTTCATACAGAGCTTGTTTTTCTTTTCACTCCTCCTACAGTGAGGTAAGAGGATCTCATATACTCATAACCCTGTTGCCAACTGCTCAGCAGCCTTCAGGGTTGTGAGCAAGACTCCTTGAAGACTTCGTGTGGCTTTTCCTAAAGAAATGCAGGGGAGATATTTCAGTAAATGAGTACGTTAACTAAGTACAAATGAAATTGCTGTTATTACCTGTTTTCAGCCTAAACATTGAAGACTACATATATGATTAAAGTTTTCTTCCTGACTTGCTTCCTAACTCTAATTTAACTTCCCCACTTTAGTTGTATTGTTCATCTCATAAAAAAATCATGAACATTATTTGCACGAGTACTACAGATAAGATCTCATTACAGGCAGCCTTAATGTCCAGATTCTTGGGCTCTTCCAAAATTTAATTGTATAAAAATCCACTTTAAAAATACCCCTTGAATATTCAGCAGTGGGGAAGAACAAAAATGATTTGAGCTGTAGACCTGGTCTTTAAGAAGGATGTAGTCTACTACATCTACACAGTTTTAAGAGGGTGTAAAATGGTTTTTTACATATAGAAAGTTGACTAGCTAGAATGGGAACTCGATATATGTAATTTATTTGCAAAATCATTATGCATGCCACAGTAAATGCTAGATAGCATCTAGCAAGAGATTGAGTAATTTCATGTGTTGGAGAAAAGCAATATAAAAGCAGGCTTTTTTTTTTTTTTTAACACTTTAAGTCATATATAATTTTAAATTTACCATTTTTGCACTTAAAAATCCATTTCCCTGATAACTGTTGTTTTTGTATTTGGGATACATGGATACAGCTCTGCAGCAGTGAGCCGTGGACGTGTTAATGATTTGAACAGGTGGATTCTTCCAGGACTCCAGGTAGTGGCATTCTTACCAAGTCAGCCATATTATAAATAATTCTTCATGTTATCAAAATATCACAATGATATCTCTGTTAAGTAACTGACCTTAACTTCCAGGTACAAATAGGTTATCTGAGAGTAGCTTGGAAATAATTCATTTTGGTGGTATAATATTTCTTATTTATCAATTTCTTCTGACTCTTAAGTTGTTGTCAAAGTCCTTTCCTGATTATTTGTCCTTGGTGTAGCATCTCACTCAGCATCAGAGTCCCTCCTTCTTGATTGACAAAGTATCCTTTCTATGTCACCTCCAGGGAGGTCATCTTATCAGGGAAAAAGGACAGGGTAGGTCTTACTTTTTAAATCAGATCGACTTCTGTCTTATTTCTTTTCTTCAGTATAGTTAGTAGCCACGTTGGGAAGCACAAGCCTTCATGGGACTTTATAAAATTACCTCCCATTAAGGATGTATTTATTTCTCTGCGACTTAAGTAGAGATGGTTGACCCACTTCCTCTCTTCCCATTCTTCTTAGATCAGAGCCAATTATCAGACTCATAGTGGGACTACTCTGAGCTCTGCTTAGTGTTCTTTTATAGTATTTGATGAGAGACTGGCTTTCTTGAAAAATTGGTTTAATATGCCCATATCCTATATATAGGACATGAACTATATTTAAAAATGTAAATAGTAGGTTTAAATATAATTTCCTGTCAGTTTTTTCTAAATACAATTGATCTTTGTTCATGGATTCCTTATTTGTAAATTTTCCTACTCATAAAAATTTGTTTATAAGTCCCAAAGTAATACACTTAAGTGCTTTGTGGTCATTTGCAGATATTCATAGCAGAGTGGTAAAAAATTTCAGTCACTCTCTGTGCACATTCCCATCTCACAGAAAAGGTTGCATAAGAGGTGTTTTGCTATTTCAGAGCATGAGCAGTTATTCTTTTTGCAGTCTATTTAATGCTGCATTTGTCACGTTTTTGTGCCTTTTGCTGGTGATTTCACTGTTTAAAGTGCTGTCTAGTGTTCCTAAGTGTAAGAAGCTGGGATGTATCTAACAGAAAAAATACATGTATTTAATAAGCCTCATTCATTCTGGCAGTGCTGCTGTTGGCCATCAATTCAATGTCAATTAACCAACAATATATTTTAAGTAAGGTATCGTTATTAAAAAATTTTTTTTAAATTCATTTCAGAGATTATGGGAGAGGGAGAAACAAAAATGATGAGAGAGAATCATCGATTGGCTGCCTCCTCCACACCCCACACTGGGGATGGAGCCCGAACCCCAGCCATGTGTCCTGACCAGGAATCACACTGTGACCTCCTGGTTCATAGGTTGACCCTCAATCACGGAGCCACTCCAGCTGGGCAAATAAGGTATCTTTAAATAGAATCACACATAAAACAAAGCAATGTATTGCTTGGTTGCCAAAAACACTGTGACCAGAGGTTCACAAAACCTAACCCTGCATTTCCCCTAGAAATAGTTGTTCAATGTTGGCTAATTTAGGATTCATGGTAATGTTATAGAATACTAGAGGCCCAGTGCAGGAATTCCTTGGCCTGGCTGGTGATTGGGGTGGGGCCAATCAGGGCCACAGGAAGTTGGCTAGCCAGGGGCAATGGCGATAGGAGGTTGGCTATGGGAGTGCACTGACCACCAGGGGGCAGCTCCTGAGTTGAGCATCTACCCCCTGGTGGTCAGTGTGTGTCATAGCGATCAATCGACTGGTCATTTAGTCACTTAGGCTTTTATATATATGGATTACTACTGTGAATAATGAAAAGGCATCATGTTGTACAAGTGAGAGGGGTTGCCCTAACTGTTGGGTATCTTATCTCCTGTAGCCACTTCATCTCTAATTAGAATAAGTGTATTATTAGTGGTACAGGCTTGGCCTTAACTTTCTTTCTTCTTACTCCCTTCAAAATCCTCCAATTTCGACCAGCCTCAACTTTGGATTGATTATGCAAATCATACAGGTTGTAGGCAGCTAAATAATGGTTTCTGCTTGTATGCCTGCTCTGAAAATATAAAGGAAATTATTTATGAAAAATATCTGGAGAATGGATCTTCTTGTCTTTTCCCATCTTGATTAGGGTAGCTACCTTATTTTAATATGAAGTTATTGGTAATTCCCGGGTTCCTGCCTCCTTTGATTTGGTCCTTTATTTGAGAAAGTTGGATACTAATAATTACTTTATGCCTCAATCTCCCCATTTGCAGAAAGGAATAAATATATTTGTGTTCATTATCAGTTTTGCAATGGATAATTTTATTGAATTTTAAACTAGGTACTAGGCAAAGCAATTTACATGCCTTAGTTCATTTATACTTTTAGATGAAGAATTGAAGACTTAGAAACTTTAGGTAACTTGACTGAGATCATAGGCTCACCAAGATCGAGTAAGTTGAAGCTTGTTTGGCGTTGCAGAGATGTTTTGAGGAATGGTGACAAATTTCCTCTGTTTAGCATTCTGAGCTTTGCAGGAAATCAAGGTATTCATGAAATTTTGCATGTAGTTATACTTGTTTCAATTATAATAAACTATTACAACAAATAAAGCAACCTCAAAGATGCAATTCCCTTGGTATTGCTAACAATTATGTAGGTGGAAAGAAGTATAATTCTTTTTCTTTTTTAATTAAATTTATTAGGGTGGCATTAGTTAATGGACTCATATAAGTTTCAAGTGCACATGTCTATGATATAAGATCTGTCTATTGCAGAACACTTGGGTTATATCCCTCTCTTGGCCACTATAAATAACTAGTGGTCCGGTGCATTTGTTCATGCACATATTAGAAGGAATATTTTAATATCATTGTTCGCCCTTTCTCTATAATTATCAAACAAATTCATAATTGACAATAATAGATAGAAACACATGTGTGTGATTGGTGCTAGTGAGAGATTTATATGTATCATGCATGAATGAGTCAACTTAGCCTTTATAGATGTAGAATAAACTTGCTTAATTAGACCTTTTTGATTTAGCTAAACTTTTTCCAGCCCAATGAAGCGCCTCACCTTCTCTTCCAAGTAATTATCAGCAAAACAGCAGTAAATATAAACACAAAGTAGATTATTATTGTAGATCATGCAGGGGGAACAAAAGGTAAAATATTTAACTGCAGCAGTGTTTGACTGTATTCTGCACAGTGAGAAAACCTGAAGTCATTTCCATGGTCCACCATTTCTTCTTTTCAGTCGGGTCAAGTTTCTAAACTTCCTAAATCTCTGTTTTCTGGCTAATAAAAAGAAAATAGGATTCTACGGAGTCTCCTGTCTACCTACTTCAGGACTTCTGTAAGATCAAATGAGATGAGGCATGGGAAAATGCTTCATAGACATTTGGTTAAATTGTAAAATGTTTGCACCTTGTTATAAAGCAAGTTGTGTTCCTGGGCTGAAGAAACTAAAAGGAGGCTAGTTGCCAGGGAGAGGAAGCCGGGCTTTGCTACATGACATTATTACCCAGCATCCATGGTGACTGTTTCCAGGCTGTGCTGTGCCATTGGGTCTTGGCAGCATCAGCTGTAGTTTGGTGGGGTGTTGCTCTGGGGTGGGGCTGGGTCTGTGTCCCACTTTGGGGAAACGGAATGTTGCTTTGTGGGTGCAGTACCGTTACTCTGTAAATGGCCAGTGCGCGTCACGGGAGCTCCTGTATTGAGCATCTACCCCCTGGTGGTCATTGCATGTCATAGTGACTGGTCGGATGGACACTTAGTGTATTAGCCATATATATATGTGCTGCAATGAACGTAGAGTTGCATACATCTTTGCAAATAAATTTTTTCATGTTTTTTTGGATGGATACCCAGGAGAAGGGTTGCTGGGTAATAACTCTATTCTTAAATTTTTTAAGAACCTTCAGGCTGTTTCCTCTAGTGGCTAAACCAGTCTACATTCTCACCAGCAGGGGATGAGGGTTCCCTTTTCTTCACAATCTCTCCAATACTTGTTACTGCTTGCCTTGTTGATAAAAGCCATTTTTACAGGTATGAGGTGGTATTTCATTATACTTTTGATTTGCATTTCCCTGATAGGTAGTGAAGTTGAACATCTTTTCATATATCTGTTGGTCATTGTATGTCTTCTTGGGAGAGGTGTCTGCTCAGGTCTTCTGCCCATTTTTTAATTGGTTTGTTTGGTGT